TTCCCATGTAACAATTTTGTTTATTCACTTTTTAAAAATTGCTGCCACTTTTTTCTTTTGAAATTCTAGAGCATTTCAACTCTAACAAGTCTCCTTTTGTGTTCTTTGAATGCTTTTGAATTAAAAAGAAAACCCATAATTTTCATGTTCTGATATGCTTTCCTCATGCAGGAATTTTAATCTAAATGTGGAAGAGTGATTCCTAATTTTTATAAGTTACTGAGTAATATATTGAATAAAGCTTACAGTTAATTACTGGCAAATGAAACAGCTTGTAATGTTTAACCTCCAAGTCAATATATGGCAGTATTTCAAATATGATGCATTTTTCACCACTTATCAACCGTAGTCAATCCTACTGTAGCTTCATTTTTAGGATCTCTAGAGACAGGAAATCTTTTCAAAGAGCTATATTAAGCTGGTTTTTCTGTTTTGCCTATGTAGTTTTCTGCTTGTCTAGTGCTGCTCTCTGGTGACCATTTCTTAAATTACAGGCCATAGATTTTTGCAGTTTAGCCTGGGGGTGGGGGGTGGAGGGTGCGGGGGCGTGGAGCGGGTTGCGGGGAATGAACCAACAATTTTTTAAGTGTGTGCAATATCGTTGCCTTTGTTAACATCCATGTTCAGCTGTCAAATAAAATCCGCAGGCTAGAGCAGATTTTATTCTAGAGCATTGCCGGATAGAGATACTAAACCCAGTTCAGGCATTTTTAGGCCTCCTTTATATTCACCAGCTGGCCACATGTGTTTCTTGGTTGGGCTGAATAGAGATGGTAGAGAGGAATTTAGTCCAAGAAATGAAGTTTTTCCTGATGACTTGCTCCTTTTTCTTTTTGAAAAAGTCCTTTTCCACTCTAGATGCCGGTCTTTCCTACAGTTTCTAAACCTTCTCTCTTGCTCCCAGGCTGAAGTCAGAATTGCTCGTTGGAATTAACAGTCCAGCACTACTCCTCAGGTGCCTGGTAACATCCTCCATGGTGCTTATAGAAACAGACAGAGGAAGGAGGAGGCAAACAATTTTTCACTCATATTTGATTCCTATCAATAAATCCTGGAGTCACAGAGCCTTCTTTAAAACCCATCTGGATTTACATACATACACACACACACACACACACACACACACACACACATATTATTATATATATATAATATACACACACATACATATACATACATACACACACATATATGTGTATGTGTATGTATGGCTGTATACACACACATATGTATGTGTGTGTGTGTGTGTATATATATATATATTTTTTAGATGGAGTCTCTGTCACCCAGTCTGGAGTGCAATGGCACGATCTTGACTCACTGCAGCCTTTGCCTCCCAGGTTCAAATGATTCCCTGCCTCAGCCTCCTGAGTAGCTGGGACTACAGGCATGTGCCACCATGCCTGGCTAAGTTTTGTATTTTTACTAGAGACTGGATTTTGACATGTTAGCCAGGCTAGTCTTGATCTCCTGACCTCAAGTGATCCACCTGCCTCACCCTCCCAAAGCGCTGGGATTATAGGCACAAGCCACCATGCCCAGGCCTGCAGGGTATATTTGAGTGAATAGTAACTAGTATTTGCTGACTATGCTGGGAACAGATAATTGAAGCCAAAGTCCCAGCTGCCTTGGACCTGAGAGAGGTTTCTAATTTGGTGTTAGCATAAAGGGATTTGTGGGTGTTTGAGAGAAGGAAGGCAGGAGGGAGAGGATATTGCTCTGCACCTGGTGCCTGTGCAAGATGCTGCTGCAAGGTTTATTCTCCTAACCACCCTGTCCAAGATGGAAGAACTACAGCCTAGAAGGATTTAACAATTTCACAAGGCCACACAGCTTAAACTAAAATCCAGGTTGGCCTGGCTACAAGGCCCACAGTCCTTCCAGAATACCACGAGGCTGTGAGGAGAGGGTTCAAAGGTCAGATCAGTGGCTAGAGGAGAGGCACTGCGGATGGACTGAATGACTCTGGACTGCGTTGTGGACTTGGTCTGTGGCTGTTTCCCTCACATCGTGATGCTCTGCATTGTAAAGTGTGGTAGATGTGGGGCAGGGAGGGGCAGGGAGGTGGAGTGAGGGAAGTGAATCTCAGCACATCTGAACAACTGTTCAATGTCCTGCGCTGGGCATGGTGAACCTGCTCCAGTTTAATGTACAAGATGAACACTGGAGGAACACAGGAGGCAGTAATGCGTTACTGGGAACTGCTTGCTTACCTTTTTGCTTTTCATAAAAGGTGAATATGATGAGTACATAAATATCTGCTATGATGTTTTCTATAGCTTTCAATTGAAGTAGTTCTTTTTTAAATTTTGAGACGGAGTTTTGGTCTTGTTGCCCAGGCTGGAGTGCAATGGCACAATCTCGGCTCACTACAACCTCTGCCTCCTGGGTTCAAGCGATTCTTCTGCCTCAGCCTCCCAATTAGCTGGGATTAGAGGTATGTGCCACCATACCTGGCTAGTTTGTATATTTAGTAGAGACAGGGTTTCTCCATGTTGGTCAGGCTGGTCTCGAACTCCCAACCTCAGGTGATCTGTCTGCGTCAGCCTCCCAAAGTGCTGGGATTATAGGTGTGAGCCACTGTGCCCAACCTGAAATAGTTCTTAATTTAAAATGAAAACAGTGAAAAGGGTTAGGTGAGCTGAGTGGTATGCACCTGTGGTCCCAGCTACTCAGGCTGCTGAGGCAGGAGTATCGCTTCAGCCCAGGAGTTTGAGGCTGCAGTGAGCATTGATCATATCACTGAATTCCAGCCTGGGTGACAGAGCAAGACGCCATCTCTAAAATATAAAAAACAAAAACACTAAAAGAGAGCAAAGACAATTTTACCCATTATTTTTTCTCTTTCGTAGGTGACACAGTATCAGGAAAGCTGCTTGCAAGGACTTCCAAATTTCTAAGTGGGTTAGAAATCACACACACTTAAACTGAGTTGCATTGATACGTTTTTCGATTAAAAGCAATACAGTTTTACATAGAACAGAATAGTGAACCCAGAAACAAATCCTCACCCTACAGTGAACTCACTTTCAACAAAGGTGCAAAGAATGTACACTGAGGAAAAGACAGTTTTATTAATAAATGGTGCTGGGAAAACTGGATATTCATATGCAGAAGAAGGAAACTAGACCACTATCTCTTGTCATATACAAAAATCAAATTAAAATTGATTAAAGATTTAAATCTAAGACCTCAAACTATATAACTCCTGCAAGAAAACGTGGAGGAAACTCTTGGGCCATTGATCTGGGCAAAATTTCTTGAGTAATACCCCAAAGCACAGGCAACCAAACCAAAAATAGACAAATGGAATCACATCAAGCTAAAAAGCTTCTGCACAGCAAAGGAAACGATCAACAAAGTGAAGAGACAATCCATAGAATGGGAAAAAATATTTGCAAACTACCCATCTGACAAGCGATTAATAACTGTAATATATAAGGAGCTCAAACAACTCTTAAAAAATGGGCAAGAGATTTGAATAGATATTTCTGCAAAGAAAACGTACAAATGGCAGACTGGCAGATGAAAATGTGCTAGCATCATCGATCATCAGAGAAATGCAAATCAAAACTACAATGAGATATCATATCACCCCAGTTGAAATCGCTTATATCCAAAATGCAATGACAAATGCTGTTGGGGATACAGAGAAATAGAAAACCTTATCCATTTTTGTTGGGAATGTAACTTAGTACTATTACTATGGAAAACAGTTTGGAGGTCCCTCAAAAAACTAAAAATTGAGCTACCACGTGATCCAGCAATACCACTGCTGGGTATATACCCAAAAGAAAGGAAATCGGTATATTGAGGAGACATCCACACTCCCATGTTTGATGCAGCACTGTTCACAATACCCAAATTTGGAAGCAACCTAAGTGTCCATCAATAGATGAATGAATAAAGAAAATGTGGTGCTATACACAATGGAGTACTATTCAGCCATAAAGAAGAATGAGATCCTGTCATTTGCAACAGCATGGATGGAACTGGAGGTTATTACGCGAAGTGAAATAAGCCAGGTATGGAAAGACAAACATTGCACATTTTCACTTATCTGTGGGATCTAAAACTCAAAACCATTGAACCCATGGAGATGATAGTAGAAGGATGGTTACTAGAGGCTGGTGAGGGTGGTGGGGGGTGGGGGCGGGTGGCAGGTGGGAATGCTTAATGAGTACAAAAAATAGTTCAAAAGAATGAAAAAGACCTAGTGTTTGATAGCACAACAGAGTGACTATAGTCAATAATAATTTAGTTGCACATTTAAAAATAACTAAAAGAATATAATTGGATTGTTTGTAAACCCAAAGGATAAATGTTTGAGGGGATGAACACCCCATTTTACATGATGTGATTATTATGCATTACATGTCTGTATCAAAACATCTCATGTACCCCACAAATATATACACCTATCATGTACCCACACAAAAAAAGCAAAAAGAAAACCAAAAATCAAATTACAGCCTTAAAGTATTTCCCAAAGTCCACGCTGGGGTGTCGTCGCTTACATCCTTCACGTGTAAGATTAAAAACTACTACAACGCAGGAGGCCCGTGTAAAGTGATCTGTTCACGGTCAGGGGAAAAGCAAGGTTAGATAATGTCACAAACACACAACAACAGAGTCATTAAAACCATGCAATTTAGTTGGAAGTGTTCCACAGCACTCTGCAGGCTTTCTGTGCTCAACTCTCATTCTGGGAAAAGAAATAAGGTTAGAGTTGTAGTCCACATTTCTCCCATGCTTTCTCATATTTAAAGCATAACTGTGTGTATTATCTGAACTGATTATCACATCTGCTCTTAGAAGAAACATAAACGGAGACTAAGTGATTCACTGAACTGCAGGGCTGGCTGGTGACACAGCTGCCTCACTCCAGGTTCCACATGCACCATCTGCACCATGCGGAGATTTGTTCCGGCTGCATGCCCCTGTGTCTGCCTCAGCCCCCCACTGGCTCCCGCTGCCCTGGCTTCCGGGAGCTGACGCACCTGTTCATGAGACCATGTTCGTTCAGAACCATCCTTGACACAGATGTCCAGCCTCAGCTCTGTTCCGGTGGCTCCATGCTTGCTGTCCACACAGAGATTTGCTGCTATGTTTCGGATCTGTAGAAAGGTGAAAGAATGTTGAGTGTAGGGCTATGTTATATTTTATCACTGGCTCCTAACAACCACAGTATAGATTAAGTAAGACCTAGATGATCTTTTTGATTACATGCATATTGAATGAGACTTTGAATTTGTGTGCAATTTATGAAGAAAAATCAGGGAATTAAATGTAACGTTGAAGCCATCTTCACAGGCTTAACAAGAATTCTGGGCAGAAATATAGTTATAATTAAGTATTAATCAGTCTGCACTCTGACCTACTTCCTTGTCACCGAAACTCTGTAGCACTAGATACTCACCATTTGGATCTCCATTGTTCCTATACATAGGATTTCTACCATTACAATCATATGGTTTTTGTTTAAGAATTGCTTAAGCAGATATTGAATTCCAGCAGAACAGCTGAGGGCAGCCAGTTTAAAGACCCTCACAGAGGAAACGGATCAACATGAGAATATTGTTTCTTCCTTCTGTCCCATGACCTCATCCTGCTCTCTGTGACCAATCAATGATCTCCCAACTTCAGCCTATTCCAAAACCCTTAAAAATAAATCCTAGCCCCAAGCTCCTTGGGGGGACAGATTTGAGGTTTCCTTCCATCTCCTCATTTGGCGGCCCTATGATTAAACCTCTTTCTCTGCTGCAACCCCATATCTTGGTGTATTGAATTGCTGCACGCATCAGGCAACAGACCTATTATGGTTACAACATGGTCCACTCTGCATGCTACAGAACACGAGATGGTTAAACAACCAAACTGCAGCTGCTTGCCGCAAAGAATGTGTTGATAATGCAATATAGGGAGCAGCCTAGAGTTCATGACTTCAGTAAAAGTGAAGACTTTCCTTTTTAGACAGTGCTTAATTTGGATTTTATTATCTTCCTGCTTCAAAGCACCTTCCACCATTATCATGCTAGCGGGAGAGAGATCCAGTACGAGGTGGGTGTTGCAGATACAGTAAGTGATGGAGGGGCGTGAACCACTTATCCCTGCATGGTTCTGTGCAAAACGTGGTGACCTTTGGTTTCAGTTTGACTACAGTGGTATCGGTCTATGCCTATTGTCGTAGTTTAGCATTGCTTTGGATGATAAATTAAATGTCACTCTAGAGTATTAGCAAAATAGGAAAGACAGTATTAATGCTGAAATACTATACTGGATAAAGATTCTCTACATAAAACCTGACCTTTGAAAATTTGCAGAGTGGAAAAGGATAATTCTTAACACTGATATAAGGAACTCAATACTTAGAGGTAGGAAAAGTGTGGACAATAAAAAGTGTCAAAAGCTGAAACGGCAGTAGAAGTAGAGTTTGGCAGAGACATGTCCTTTTGTCTTTTTTTTTTTTTTGAAACGGAGTCTCTGTCACCCAGGCTGGAGTGCAGTGGCGCAATCTCGGCTCACTGCAACCTCCACCTCCCAGGTTCAAGCGATTCTCCTGCCTCAGCCTCCTGAATAGAAGGGATTACAGGCATGTGCCACCATGCCCAGCTACATTTCATATTTTTAGTAGAGACGGGGTTTCACTATGTTGCCCACGCTGGTCTTAAACTCCTGACCTCACTTGATCCACCTGCCTCATCCTCCCAAAGTGCTGGGATTACAGGCGCGAAATGCTACGCCCGGCCCTTTCCTCATATCTTCCTGCTTGAAAGTTTCACCAGTCTTCCTGAAAGTGTCAGAAGCACAGCCTGTAGCAGAGATGGATATTCTTGATAGTTTGCCTCTTAGGTGTGTATGCTTACATAAAGTCAATGATCTTACTCCTTTTTAAGCCTTTACATAGTCCTGGATTATAATAATCCCTTTAGGTCCTTTTAAGAATGGAAACAAAACCACAATGGGCCCAAGTGATCATTTTAACCAAGGTTCTTTTGCCTGGATGAGTAGATAAGGAAAGGAGTTTCTCTGCAACAGAAAAATACCCAACTGGGCCTGTTCCTACTGGGGTGGGAAATGAGGAAGAGAGAAGATTTTTATGAAATATTCAGAGTATCATGAAAGGAATGAATAATGCTGGGATAGAATGGTGGTGGTGGAGAGAGAGAGTTCCTATTTCATTTACTCTAGGAGTAGAGGTTGGGGATGCCAGTCAGGAGAGAATCAATGTGGTGGGTACTAATCTCCTTATTCAGGGACTCTGGCAACAGGTTGGGCTCATCCGCTACTGCTGGGCCTCTGCCTTCGGGGTCTCTGTCCCTGATGACAAGGTAATGTGAAATAATGCAGGGTAGAGGGGAGCAGTTCTTAACCTGGTTTTGCCTACAGATTTCTCTGAGAATCCAAGAAAAGTGATGGACATTTTTGAAGCAAACAAAACTATAAGTGGATGCTTCCAAGCACTTCTGTATTGGTTTTCCTGGAATCCATTGACTTCAGATTTGAACCCCGAAATAGGAACAAATGCCTGCCCTGACCCCTTGAAAACTAGTTGCACTCCTTCTCTTAGTGTAGGAGACCTAGAAAGACAGGGAACGAACCTGGCTGGTTGTCCGAAGGCACCCGATTTACTCTCATTTCTTTTGCCTTTACTCCACCTTCCCTGAAACAAGTACCAGGGAGGAGCTTCTCTCTGGAATTTGTGAAGCCAAGCTTAAAATGTACGATTTATAAAATCAATTTCCTGGTGTGTGATGGGATTTCTCTAGTGAAATAGAAATGCCCAGAAGGTCAAAAGTAGATTTTGCTATCACTGTCTTGAGCCTGGCACACTCTGTAAATCTCCTATTTGATCTCCTGATGTGAGTGCAGTGTGTTGGTTTTCTACAGCTGTCTATAACCTGAAAGCTGCCCTACAGAACTCTGAGCAGGCCTTTCTTTTCATTCTTGGGCCATTTAACTCGCAGACACACTCTTCTTGGAGAACCAGTATCAGTTTCTACTGAAGACAACTTCAGGGCACTATTTTTCTTTTTACTTGAGTCCAGGAGCTCTGAACACATTTGGGAAGAAAAAGCAGCTGCTTGCAGGTTCGTGGCCAGTGGGCCCCAGACAGAGGAGCTTTTTCTCCTATGTTGGCTGGCATTTGAACTCACTTGTGGAGCGACTCTGCTCCTGGAAGAGGAGGATGTGGGGAAGAAGAAAACATACCCAAGCCAGGGACATTGAGTGACAAGTCTGCCAAATCAGCCTGTGCCTATTGGAGAGCCTCGATTTGTTTTTAAATGTTATGAGCTCAAACGGCCTCTGGCAGGGATGGAGGATGTCATTTTCTAAACTCTTGAATATTCTAAATTCTCACTCAAGTGGCATCTGTGTAGACAATGGGATAAACTGCTTTGGAAGCCAAATTTCAGGTTTCAAAGGCTTAATTGTCTACATCTGTGTAAATTGCAGCAAAAAGTTGTGCCAGATGGGAAATACTGCGAGTTCACTATTGGATAAGGTAGGCAGCTGGATATGAGATTAATATCCAGCTCTTCCCCAGGATTCGTATCCAGCCATTCCCGCTTGCTCCTCTTCTTTCCTGTCCACCCGCCTCTCTCCAGCATATATTCAGATGATCTCATGTTGCTCACAAACTCAACTCCATTCAAATAAACAGGTGAATAAAATTCTAATAAAACTGATTCTAACACTTGTTTATTCACATTACTAAAATTAAAAAAAAAATGTAGACAAGAACACTTAGGATGATTGACATTTTTTCAACATGGGCTCTGTACCTCCGGCTGAAGGTGAAGCAGTTCATGCACACACACATGTCCAAACCTAGGACACAGGCTATTGAACAGGTCTATCACAGAATCAATCATTTTCAGGCCTTATTCCTTTGATGCCCAACTTCAGGGCACAGCATAATTGAAATTGTGTCAAGCAATCTTGAGAGATACTGAACAGGATTAGAAAATGAGGCGGTGCTTGGCTACGAATGGGTGGGAAGGAGAAAAATGAGGAAAAGGGGAAACAATGTGTGATAGGATTACAGAGATAATCTCCTTTTGGGCAAGGATCAGGAATAGGTCTGGCAGAGAGTAAAGGAGCAGGCTCAGCTTTAATATTGTCACCCCCAACCCCAACACAGGAAGTTTTTATCAGAGAGGTACAAGAGAAAGGGAATGCAGCATAAATGTCAAGGTGACTAGTAGGTGTGGGGTAGGTAATTCAATTGGCTGTTAGAGAGGGTTAGCTTAAAAATGAGCCAGCATGGTCTGCTAATTTCTCCTGATAGCATTAGGTCTTTTAAGTAACAAGTGGTGGGTTCATTACTCATTCAACAATATTTGCTAGGTACCTGCTATGTCCCAGGCACTATGCCAGAAACTGGATATATAGCAAAAAATAAAAAAAGAACCAGTTTTCTCCTTTGTGTACCTGATGGTCTAGTGAGGACATCAGAGAGGACATGAATGGAAGAAAAGCTGGCGACTTCCAATATTTCTGGCTGTGAATTTTTAACATGGCAATAAAAATTAAGATACTCCTTTTTATGGACTATAGTAGATTTTATTTTATTTTATTTTTCTATTTATTTAGATGGAGTTTCATTCTTGTTGCCCAGGCTGGAGCGCAATGGCTCAACCTCTGCTCACTGCAACCTCCACCTCCTGGGTTCAAGCAATTCTCCTGCCTCAGCCTTCCAAGATAGCTAGGATTACCGTCATGTACCACCACTCCCAGCTAATTTTGTATTTTTAGTAGAGAAAGGGTTTTAGTAGAGACTGGCCAATTTTGTATTGTTAGTAGAGGCAGGCCTGTCTTGAGCTCCTGACCTCAGGTGGTCCACCACTGTGGCCTACAAAAGTGCTGGGATTATAGGCGTGAGCCACTGTGCCCAGCCTATGGACTATAGTTGATTTTGGAATGGAAATTTATATGCAGAGCTGGAAAGACAGACGACACTAGAATAACACAAAAAGAGAACCGAATGGAGACTGAGCAGGTCCAGGTTCTGCTCATGAGCTACAAAAGGTACAAATGAGGTTCCCTATTACCTCATTTTTTTTCAAGAGAGAGTGTCTTCCTCTGTTGCCAAGGCTATAGTGCAGTGGTGTGT